ATGCATTTAAATTAATGACATGGAAATTAAATAAATAGAAAATTATTGAGGTGGCAATTGATCAAAGCACCTTAATCAAATCTTTAAAAGGGATGAATGTTTAATCTAACAACTATAAAAAAAATGTAGGGACTCAAAACTGACCAAACTGACTCAAAACAGCGCAAAACAAACAAATTAACTCAAAACAGGAACTAAAAGGTGATTTGGACAAAAATTGAAGTAAATTGACATGAAATACTAAAGGGGGGTTTGTTTGGACGAATTTTAAACTAAAACTAAGTAGGTTGTAGAGACGAATTTTAAACTAAAACTAAGTAGGTTGTAGAAAACAAACTAATTGATACTAAATTGGGGTGAATGAAAGGGGTGAAAGGCTAGCTTGAGGGTCATTCTCCACACATGACACATATGCAACACAAATCGATCTCCAATTACTATTCCTATAAACCATGAACGACAATGCCCCAAGTTAACCGTGAACTACACAAATTAACTATCAGATTTTCCTAAATTCATTGAATTAGACTCAGCAACGCAACAAAATTATTCTTATCAAGTTCCCTATATGACAATTGGATGATTACACGTGCGGCAGCTAACATGCACGTGGGGAAGCTTAATAATAGCCGACCAAGACCCTCATGTGCTAATCACAGTGCTTAAAAATTTCATGACCAACTTGGTTTTACAAGAGACCTATCAAAGTGTCTCTAATGTAAAGACTTAATCTTAGACAATATTTTTATATTTGGATCTTAAAAGGTCATATATTTGGATCTTAAAACTCAAATTCTAGAACTCGTTTTGAGTTTTAAAAATTGAATCCTTGCACTGGAAATTCATATTTGAATTTTAACAATCTGGTTGTGTATTGGAGATGATTGGACTCAAATCTCATTATTCTTGGTTGAGTAACAATTTTCTTAGTTGGCATGAGCTCCACTTTCAACTCAAATCACATACTGAAACTCAAATTGGGTTTTCATTCCGCCAGAGACATAAATATGAGTTTGGAGAACCCTTGGACTCGTATTTAGACTCAAATATAAGATTTGAGTCCAAATTTTCTGGTACATCGGAGATGTTTAGTGTGCTCGAAATATAAGGCGATCAAGATTGAATTGAGAAAATACTATTTTTATTTACTTTCCCATCTAATGGACATAAAGTTGGATTACCCAGTCACTTGAATTATTGAAGACTTACCTATATCGAACTACCTAGTAATTCAAACTAATTAAGATTTGCCCATAAAATGAGACATATTAATCTTGTCGTCCTTGGAGTACTCGTAAAAATTTCTAGGGTAGTGCTATCACACATCCATTTTTACTTTTCACACACCCCTCTCAATTTTTGGACATCAGAAATAATGAGTTGAAAAAGAACAATGACAAAAAATTAATAAGGATGTGTAAGAAGTAAAAATTGGTGTGTGAACATATTCCAATTTCTAATGATTTAACTCTTTGATTTGAACCATGAGATAAGCCCGTGGTCTTCTTCAAGGTAATGGAGTGACGCGTGAGGATCGTGAAAAGATTGAAAACGAAGAAACGAGAGAGTATCAAATGATTGAGAGAAGTGCGTGTGAGGTTAGGATAACGATCTTTTATATTGACAAATCTTTCCAAGCAACCACCCATAAATTTGAGGGGAAGTGACTCTAAATTCTTGACCATCATGTCACCAAGCAATCAAAATTCGTTATTTTAAATGGAGTTGCACAGATAATTCAGGTGATTGTAGAGAGATGTCTCAAAATAATCTGAAAGATTTAAGAATACTCATGTGGTGGAATTAATTTTCTCAGTTCAAATTGAGACAATTGTGATGTTGAAGGTTGGTAATGGACAAACGGGAAAAGGAGGAGAGGCCGATGGGCACGTCGACGACTCAATGCACAATAAAGAGAAAGATCAGTTGTGTTCAATTCCAATCATTTTTTGTTAACATTGAGATTTTCTTGAAGTTCCTAGCTTGATGTGTAACTTTCTAACGGAACTTGAGCGAAGATTGATATGGAAGCAAATTTTCACCGTCTCTTCCTTTAACAAAAATGCACTTTTAAAGTAATAACGCATAAGATTAAGGTCAAAAATCTCACGCGCCCATGATGAATGAGGAGGATTTTGGCCGAAAAATCTCCGATGCCAAAGTTAGAATTCTGAAATGAATGTATTTAGGAGTTCGTGGGTAGCAAATGACTTAGCATTTTAGTGGGATGCGAGGGGTATTTATAGGAGGGTGTCCAGCACTTTGGGTGGAGAGTGGCTAGCCATATATGGTGGTAATTGGAGAACAATTGCAAGATATTATGTGAAATAATATCTTGCAATTAATATGGCAATTATTCCTAAGGGATGAAGAGTTGATTGTTGCTTATAATCAAGTAAACCACTTCCAGAAGATCGCCAATAAGCTTGAACCCCAAGTGTTGAAACTCCAAGGTGTGTTGAAGATCAACGAAAGTCTGAAGAAGGAAGTGGATGAGTTGCAGCGCATCCATGTTGGTCTACTCGGGGTTTTGCTTGTTCAGGGTCAGGCCGATTTTAGTTTAAGTTTGTCTCTTGTGCTCTCAATCACAAAAATACCATACGTTTTAGAGACGTCCATTCAGGTATGGTCGTCAATGCATATGCATTAGCACACCACCGAGTGCATTACAATATGGTTTTCAGTTTTGGGTGCTGCATGCATTAAAGTAGTTTATGTGGTTTTGGTTATCGTTGTCGCTGAGCATAAGTGGTTTTCTGTAGCTGCTGAGATTTATATTGTAAGCAGAATTCATATAGCAGCTTTCATATACGGCACATGGTAGTCGGCAGTACTGCATTTAGAAAGAGAAAGTTATATTTTCTTCACTGTTTATTCAAAACTTATATGTTGCATGCTCTGGGTTTTAAAGTGAGTCAGCATAGAGTTTTTATTTGAGAATAATCAATTTTGTGTCCATGTGTTTTCAAAGAGAATATTTTAGTTTTTAATCACTGATTTTTCATTGTGTTTCAATTGAAAATTAATTATGAAAATGTACCTTGTGATTTTCGTAATTAGTTGATTTAAAAAAATTATTACATTTCATACATTTTACATGATCGCGTTAGTATCTTGCAAAGTTCGAGGAAACAGTGATTGACGACTGCATTAGTGTCGTGCCACTTCCACTTGAAGGCTGAAGAGAGATCAGGTAGCAAAACGCAGTGAAAAAATTGTCTACTAATATGTGGGTCTAGTTGATGAGTTTTGTAAGTCTTTCTATACTCATTTCCCTTAGTGTTTGTTCTGGCTTAAGAGTCTGAAGATTTTCTCAGTGATGAGTGTTACCTCGTTAAATCCTACATCATGTGTATACATGTTATTTGTCTTTTTAATTGCAAATGTGTAGGATAAACTTCCACTTATTTTCTTGCAGTGAACTCTATCTTAGACATTCATCAACATATAGAGTTTACGACAGAGGACTTTGCAACTATATTATTCAGTGCATTGTTTAATTTGTAAAGCTCTCATTTATCCTAATTATAAAATATAATATGTACAAGACATTTAAAAAATGGAAGTGTAGTTTGGATGTCATGTATGGCCATATCCTTTATTTCCACCATCCTTATCGACTGGATGGGGAGATATGTCTTTAAAAGTATGTTTTGAAATCGTGGCAAATATTGATTGAGTAATGACGCCTCTAAAAGTAAAATTTGGTTATATGAAAGAATCTCTCATAAAATAAAGTAACGAATAATCAACAAAAGTAACAGTACACCAAGTTGGACCTTCCCAACGTTGAAATGAAATATGAAAGTAGACCAAGATCCTATTATTCATCTACTCTTTGTTTTTTTTTTTTTTTTTTCAATAAACGATATTGTTTACACAGTTGCCTGAGCAAAAGACATATTTCCAATTGCTTGACCAAAACAAGCATTGACTTGGTTGTCTGTCCATCAATAACAAGTCCACATCTCAACCCAAATATAATGACGTCAAAGGAAAGGGGACAATGAGAAGGAAACTCCGGAGGGTAGAGAGAAGGAAAAGAAGAAAAGGAGAAGGGAAAAGTAGAAAATGAAGGAGGAAAATGAGAGGAAATTTTGGAGAATAGAGAAAAGGGGAAGGGAAAAGAAGAAACGCAGAAAAGAAGGAAAAAGGGGAAGGAAGCTTAGGAGAGTAGAGGAAGAGAGGGAAAAGCATAAAAACAAAAAATAAAAAAGGAAAGTTGTCTTCATCATTATGTTTACTAACGGAAAAGAGCAAAATGCTCCCAACTTCCCTTGTTTCTTACATTGTAAATTGTATTTCGTACAATGAGAAATCAGTATTCTTATCCTGAGAACATAGACATAACTTGCCAAATCTCATAACTATACGACAAATTCATAACTACATAACAATTCAATCAACCACCATAAGTTTGACCATACATGTACCTAAATTCAGGTTTTTCTAAACCTTCCTTATGAAACTACCTGAACATTAAAGGTGCCACATTATTATGCGGTTCTATCAAGTTTTAATTTTTGTCTAATTACCTCATCATCTTTAGGACAATCAATCGTGTAGTTGAATATATAAACCTTCGAGATGGTGATATTGGAAACACTAGTTGGTGGGTTGATTGGTAGAAATGGTTCCAACAATTCAAGGACGATAAATGAATATGAAGCAACGATCAAACAAGAAATGAGTATAGAGCAACAATCAAAATGTGTTGTATTTTATCACAAAAAATCTTTGTGCAACTAGAAGTGCATTTTATCACAAAAAAATGAGCAACGATCAATATAATTGTAATTTAGAAAATCACATATAAAACAAGAAGTAATCTTTTCTTTTTCTTTTCATCTCTATCACTAGTGGCCATTTTATAATTGTTTGTTCATCTCCATCACTAGCCGACCATGACTTAAACAAATACTTTTTGGGTCAATGCATGGGAATGACCCATTTTATAATTGTTTGTTAATTTTTCGGGAAGTAGATAAGAATGACCTAATTAAATATCTCCCCTGCAGTGAGACATTTGCATTGCACCTAACAAAGACCAGGTTTTTTGTTTGTCCACCGATCCACATCGATGGCTCTTGTGAGAACAGCTCAAGGAACATCCTCTAATTCCAACGCTCGTCGGGGTTATCATTACGACGTGTTCTTGAGCTTTAGAGGTGAAGACACTCGCAAGACGTTTACCGACCACCTCTACACAGCTTTGATAAGAGCAGGATATCGCACATTTCGAGACGACGATGAACTCGAGACGGGACAAGATATCAAGTCAGGACTGAAGCAAGCAATCCAAATTTCCCGAACTTCTGTCATTGTGTTTTCGAAAGATTACGTGTCATCCAGATGGTGTCTTAACGAGCTTGTCGAGATCGTTGACCACAAGAGGACTAGCTTGGACCATGTGGTTATACCGGTCTTCTACGATATTGATCCGTCCCATGTGAGGAAGCAGACGGGAAGCGTTGCCGAGGCATTTGCTAGACACCGGAAAACTGAACCCCCCGACATGATGGAGAGATGGAGGAAGGCACTTGAAGAGGTTGCAGATCTAGCTGGGAAGGTTTTACAAAATCAAGCTTATGGGTAAATTTCAGTTTCTTCTTTTGTCTTCTCTTTGTTGTTGTTGTTGACCGCTTCCATGTAGCTGCATGGAATAGCTGTTAAGAATTATTTATCGAACCTTGGTATAATTTTCTCTTGTGAATTCCATGATGATCAGGCTTCGTATAATTGATTGATATCGGGTGCACGACATGTTTGATTCATCTTTCATTTTATTTGCAAATTGTTAGGTACGAGTCAAAGTTTATCAAAGATATTGTTCAAGCGATTCGTGATAAGTTAAGTCGCACACATTTGAGCGTTGAACCAAAACTGGTTGGAATCCATTCTCGAGTCGAACACATCAATTTATGGTTACAAGATCCATCACATGATGTTGGTATACTTGTTTTTTATGGGCTGCCTGGAATAGGGAAGACAACCATTGCAAAATGTGTTTACAATTCAAACTTTGAAAGTTTTGAAGGAAGCAGCTATGTTGAAAGTATCAGAGAAACTGCAAGTCATCCAGACGGCTTAGTTCGAATACAAAAGCAAATTCTTTGTGATATTTTAAATGGGCAAAAAGAGAAAATACACAATGTTAGTGAGGGAATAATTAAGATTGGAAGAGCCATAAGCTTGAGAAGAGTTCTTCTTGTTCTTCATGATGTGGACCATATGGACCAATTTGATGCAGTACTGAGAATGAAGGATCAGTTTTATCCTGGAAGTAAAATAATCATAACAACTAGGCGTAAAAGGTTGCTGAAGGCACATGAAGGTATTACGGTGCATGAAGTTGGACCTTTGGGTTTCGATGAATCATTGGAGCTCTTAAGCCAGCATGCTTTTGGCCAGGATCATCCCTTTGAAGGTTATGAGAAATATTCTGAGGAAGTCGTACAACACGGCGGAAGACTTCCATTAGCTCTCAAAGTTTTGGGTTCTTCTCTTTTCGGAGAACCTAAGCGTGTATGGAAAAGTACATTGGAGAAGTTAAAAGTTATTCCAAATGGTGAAATCATGAATAAATTGAGAATAAGCTACGACTCTTTACAAGATGACCATGACCAGAAATTATTCCTCCGTATTGCTTGTTTCTTTATTGGAAAGGATGAAGATTACATTGTCAGAATACTAGATGGATGTGATTTCAAGACAATCTGTGGCATTCAAAACCTCAGAGATAGGTGCTTGGTGACAATTGATAGGGACAACAAGTTGTCTATGCATGACATGATTCGTGACATGGGACGAGAAATTGTTCGCCGAAAATCATATGAGCCTGAGAATCGTAGTAGATTGTGGCGCTCTCAGGATTCTTTCGAAGTATTGAGAGAAAAGAATGTAAGAAATGTTCATTGTGTGTGTGTTTTTCTTTTTCTCTTGTGCTAATTAACCAATTGTTTTTCCGATTTCTTTTATAGGGTACGCAAGCAATTGAAGGTCTTATGCTGGACATGCATGAACAGCTTAAGAACAGCCCCATAAACTCAAACGAGAATGTCTTGGAAACCAATTCATTTGCAAGGATGCACAAACTGAAACTGCTCTGTCTTAGACATGTACGACTGGACGGATGTTATGCAGAACTTCCGACAAGGTTAAGATGGTTGTGCTGGCTCGAATTTCCTTTGGATTCAATTCCTGTTGATTTTTCTTTGAAGAAATTGGTAGTTCTTGAAATGCAATATAGCAACTTGAGACAACTCTGCAAAAAAGCAAACGTATGTTACCTTACGCTTTTCAATCTATTTTCCTTCTTTCTTTAGGTTTTAATTCTTTAATTAATTTCATATGTTGGAATCAACTCCTAGTTATTTTTTTGTTTTTTATTTTTCTTTGTTTCTAGTTTCTTCCTTCGTTGAAGATCCTTGACGTTAGCCATTCCCATGGCCTTACTGAAATCATTGACTTCTCACTTTGCCCCAAACTAGAGGAATTGATTCTTCTGGATTGCACCAGCCTGATTGATGTTCATGAATCCATTGGAAACCTGAAGAGACTCGTGTACTTGAATATGAAGGATTGCAAGAATCTTAGGATGCTTCCGAAGAACATGTGCATGCTTAAATCACTTGAAACACTCATTTTATCTGGTTGCTCAAATCTTGATGAGTTTCCAGTGGAGATGATGAAGGAGATGGAGTCTCTAGAGGTTCTTGCAACAGATGGAATTCCATTAAGGCCAGAAAGAAGTTCAACTATCTTGAGTTCTTTTCCATGCTCTTTAGTAGAGTTAAGCTTGAAGGGGTGCAATCTTTCTGATGATGTCTTTCCTACGGATTTAAGTAATCTGTCCTACTTGCGAAGCCTACTTTTAGATGAGAATCCAATTTGCAGTATGCCAGCTTTCATCAAAGGTTTGAGAAGGCTCGATCATCTATCTTTCCAGAATTGTAATAGGCTCGAATCGCTTGTGGGGTTGCCGAAAGTACACCAAACGACAAATATAGAAGGATGCAAATCATTAAGAAAAATAAAACATCTTTCCCGTGAGCGACGGTGCAAAATGTACTGGATGCGTGACAACTGCAGTCTAGTTGAGTTGGACTATGATTACAAGATGGAGCCTATTGATAGAGTTGATGTGGAAATAATCAAACTTTTGGGCTTGTGCAACTTAGAATCCATGCCAGCTGTTCTAATGTGTCATCCATACCTACGAAGGACAACACCTGTTCCAATAAATCATCTATACACAAACAATGGTCCAAAAAAGGTCCTGGTCCAGGTACGCCTCTCTTTCTCTCTCTCGTAAGTCTTAAATATATAATGGGAAAGAAATGACTGAGTAATGTTGTGATGATTATGGCAAATACATAGGGACTGTATCAATATGGTATATTCAGCACATTTTTTTCTAGGAATGAGGTTCGAGGGCGATTCAGTTATAAAAGTACCAACACAATTTTTGATGGGAAAGAGTCCTCCATATCTTTTATAGTCCCTTTACTACTTGCTAGTCACAGAATTCGAGGCTTGAACATCTTTGCTACCTATAAAATTACCGAGTTATCCAACATTAGCTTATGTCATCAAATACTGGTTAAAGTGAGTAACAAGAGCAAGGGTCTGAAGTGGATCTATCGCCCAGAGTTCTATGGAATTAGAGGAGAGGGAGAAGATATGATATGGTTGAGCCATTGGAAGATGGAGAACGAAACAATATTACAATGTGGAGATCAAGTGGTGGTTTCTGTAGTGGCCCATGAGTTGTTTATAAAGGAGTTTGGTGTCGAGCTTGTGCAAGAACACCAGAATAATATAATGATAAGTACCCAACACAACACCAAATCAGATCCTAATTATCCATATGTCATCGGTGGAGATTTGTCCAGGTGGGAGTATATACCAGGAATATACTTCCTTGGTTTCTCTGAAGAAGATTTTGCATTCGCTATGGAATCTCCGCGGGCATTTCCATATCACCTCATCTTTGACGCTGATGAAGAAGACACAGGTATGCTATGTCGTTGTATTGCAACGAATTATACTCCATCCAAACACTTCCAAGTCCGTCTGTATTCAATTCAAAAACATAAATTTTATGCTATTTGTATGTTTTTCAGACAAAGAAGAAGAGGAGGAACCTGATTACACAATTGGAAGGACGAGGGATGCCAGTAGCAATTGCGGCCTCAAAGGCTGGAAGGTGCTCCTCACAGCTGCCGGCTTATTTTTCACGCTTGCCCTAGTAGTTAAGTCCTCCATCTCCCAGAAAAAGAAGCGACAGTAGTCCACCAGCGATCCATGAGTTTGTAATTTTACTTGACACAAACATCTTTGGATGACCTCCTTGTTTTCAAGATGTTTTCTACCTTTAAAAACTTCGGGTTCACAGGTAAGCGCTTAACCGCTTGAGATATAAAAGCCCCTAGCAATTAGATATCGAAGTTCAAATATGTTCAACATCATCAAATATTGCATAGCTCAAATGTGTTCAACATCATCAAATACTGAAATACACCCAGCATTAGCGATGGTATTTCGGCACCGTGGAAAGCAAAAACATCCTATTTGCTTATAAATGTCAAAGTTACAGATCTTAATTGTCATTTACAACAAAATCATGCTTCTTAAAGACTCAATTCCCATTGAAAAATTGTGTAAATAAGTATAACAGATACAAGATTGAATAATATATCAAATAAATAAACAGCAGACAATTGCATCGCTACTACACTACGGAGCTGGTTTCTGCTTCTTCAACCTGAATTATTAGGAGGAACATCTGTCTCTGAGGCAAATAATCAAATAGTGCAAAATTGACTTCAATAGACTCAGATACAGATTGTTTGAATGAAACTTCCCTCATGACGCAGATACAGACATGTCCAAATTGTTTGAAAATCATTAAAGTTAATGGCGCATGAAGAGTACTGAAACATTCACAGCCCTCGCACACTGGTTGCATGATTTATTCTTATAGCAACAAAAGGCACAAATTCGTCAAGTCACATCAGGGCCATCCAAAAAGAAAATTGAAGCAAACACCACAAACAACCCAAAATTTGCTCAAACGCCGTATCAAATTAATTATAAACAGCATCCATCCCAAACAATGAATTTGTACCTCATTTGGGAGCTAAAATAGCACATGGGAAAATTGTAAATTCCATGGGACATTTAATTCCAATGAATTTATAAATGGGTCCTCAGATTAGTATAGAATTATAGTTAACCACAATTATATGCAATAAGTACCTTTCCCTTTGCAGTGTTCTCTCCCACAGGAACCTGCACATCAATAACTCGTGTTTAAATTACTAAATGTTAAAAACCAATCTTGTTATGATGTTAAAAATATGAAGCACAAATGTATCTGAGCATGCGCATGAGACCTTGGGAACTCTGAAATTTTCATTCTTTCAATTTAGATATAAGAGTTAATGTCTTACAGTGCCAAATACAGCAACTGCTAATTTCCACATCTGCATCTGCCCAACCATTCTGCTTGGGTCTTTTATATAAGAAGCAACTTGTTCACTAATATTCTGCAATTGGAAAAAGAAAAATGAATTCCTAGTGATATCTGGCAAAGCATGGCACAAGTTAGTCATAGGGAAAGGCATGTTTACAAGTTCAATTATAGAACCAGACCTGATTAAAAGCATGCGGCTCGCTTTTAATATCAGCAGCGCCTGTGGTCACCTCCGTCTTCCTCTGCCATTTGTCTATCAATTTGTTTCTGAAAGTAGGTATTCTACAAGATACAACGTGATAGGCCTTAGTTAGACCAAGTAACCCACATGGTAATGCACATACTAATGAAAAGTTGAACATAGTAGAATAAATTCCTAAAATTCATGCAAGAAAAGTTATCGGAGCATGAAAGAATTTATACAGAACTACCCAAGAGTATACTTAAAGTAAACATACGGCAACATAGATTTTTACAAGTATAATGTACAAATGAATTTCATGGTTCTCTGCCGGCCCCTTTAGATAACAAACTAATTTAATTTAGTACCTAATGGAAATTAAAGGTCAGAAAGCTATCGTCTAGTATATTTCATATTGAACAGTTAAGACAAACTTAATAACATAATAGCCTGATGTATTAACTGATAAGAACTAATTATTGAAATATAACAAAAGTTATACACTAAGGTATTGAAATACAGCAATAATAGTAAGGTACTTGAATCCACCATTTACAAGAATTTTAAACAATACAACAACAACAAAGCCTTTTCCCACTAAGTGGGGTCGGCTATATGAATCCTGAAACGCCATTGCGCTCGGTCATGTGTCACTTCTTCCAACAAGAAGTTTAAACAATAAAACAACAAAATTCCAAAGTTCTTCTTGCTACTCCAAATGGATCGGCGAAGTATGGCATGAACAATAATGTTAAACAATATTTCAGTTTTATAGATAGGCTTCAATATAACGAGAGCATATCTAGATGGTAGAATATGATTCTTCTTTTCAGAATATCCAAATTATGATCTGAGTACCTCGACAGCAACTAAGAAATCCGTGACCAATCCTCATCACCATCACCATCACCATCAATGTTCTTAGATGACTGTGACTTCTTAGATTGTCCAGATTTACCTACAGAACAGGATATGTATTAGGAGAAGCAATACATGAACATATGCAGTATGAAGTTAATGAAAACGCAAACAGTACACACTAGGACAGCCAATTAGACCATGGTAGCCCAAAAGCCTTTTTTTTTTTGCTTAATCAGGCTAAGGCTTATATGAGATCAAGCGGGAAAGATTTGTGCTGACATCCTTGGCAGATTTGAAATCTGGCTTCATCTTCGCTATCCTCAGATCAGAAAACAAGACTCAACTGATTTACCTTCTAGAGTGGTTATTTAATTGATGTTTCCTTGAAAGCTGTAATCAAAATCACAAAGTGTCTACGTTTTATTGATCTACTCTGAACTTCCCACCTAATACGCGTAAACCATCACATATTTGGATTGGCTTGTTTTCAATAACCTAATCATTAAAATTCTAAATAAGAAAAACTTCCAACTATTTCTAAAAAAGAACATTTCAGACTCCAGTTAATTTAGGCAGGACTGAGGAGATAAAGATGAGTATTTTCTTCCTTGACCAACCAAATAATGGAAGAGAAGGAATTTCTCCCCTTCTTTTTCCCCTCCTTGCAGACTACACAAGCCATTCAGAAAGGAAGAAATCTCATTCGTGCATTGTCAACTCAATAGCAATCCACTTATTTAATTCCTCTTGTAGCCATATCTTCTAACCCAACCCAACCCAAATTATATGCAGTTTATTTAACAATGCAATCAATTTCCAAGAATAAGGTCCAAATATGTGACCCTTAATCCTGGATGTCTATATTTCTATCGAATGGAACAATTTGCAATAACACTATGTTTGCTAGTACTTAACATAAATACTTACACCAACAACAACAACAACAACAAAAGATTGGCACAAAAAGCAAAGGTCCGTAAAACACGTAGTACTTACCACATGCAATGAATGACACCCTCAGAACCTGATGCTTCTAGGTTATCATATACGTAACTGGAAACTTGGTTTCTTCAAGGAGAGTGAAGCGAAGCCCGTCCTCGAAAGAGGGACGAGCGGAATGGCTTCAGTATCGGTAAAGAAAGAAAGAAAAGGTAAGAAAAATACCTCATCCGAAACATATAGGCAATAATTATACTAAAACAACAATTAATTGAAACCATTGAAGGGGAAAAAAAAGCAAAGGTGGATAAAAACTTAGAATTCAACAAAGATTGTGTTCCCAACCTAAATACATTATAAACTTAACAATTAAACTGCAAAATTAACAACAATTAAACAAATTAACAAACTGAAAACCCACAAAAAAAAAGGGATGAATCCCCAAAATGAGAGAAAATGAAACAAATAAGGGAGTAAACAGAGGGATGAATGCCCCAAAACCTGACCTAACGTACTAAAAAAATTCAAAAATCTAAGCTAACAGTAAAGAATCCAATTTAAAAAATGAACTTATCTTTGGAAATCCAGGCAAGCAGCAAAAGATCCGGCACACACCACCCTCAGTTGCCTCTGTTCATGACCCCTACCCCTCTCCCTGAAATCCTGACGACCCATATGGTTTTCTCTGACCATCCTCACTCTCCCACTTGTGAAATCCATCTGCAGAAACAGCGCTGAGACCCCTACCCCTACCCCTACCCCTCGCTCTCTCTCTCTCTCTCTCTCTCTCTCTCTCTCTCTCTCTCTCTCTCTCTCTCTTTCTCTCTATACAAATCTATACAAAACCACCTTCTAGCAAAACAAAGTTCATTATCTACATAGATTTCAAATTTGAATTCAATAGATTACATAAAATACTCCAAACCAAAATCGGATAGCATTCATAAGGTAAAACTACTTACTTCATGAGAATGTCATAGTTCTCGGGATGCAAAGAAGAAAACATTGCATCCACTTCTTTAATAGCCATGATAGCTCTATCCACGATTATCCAATTTGCAGACTGCAAAACTCAAAAAATAAAAAAAATCTCATCACTTTCTTTTCATTCCACACCAAACAGGACACTTAAGATCATAATTAAACACGGGAACAATTCCGATTGGTACCCAAGAAAAACACTGGAAAAACAATAAGAAAAGAAAGTTCTAAACTTGCAATTCAATTTTCTATTCCATCGATTGATTTTCTCGGCAACCAAACAGAAGATTAGCAAAAGAGAAAAGACAAACCTTGCAGCGCTCGTCTTTGGTGTTGAGAGGCGAGCCTTCAAGAGCAGTTTTTAGAGCTTCAACTGTCTTGTACCTATATGAAAAACGGATCAAACAGTTAAGGTTTTTGGGGAATTACCAAATCATTAAGGGGTTTTACAGAAAATTGAATGTACAAAGGGGAAAGGATTTGGAGTGATACAGTTTGAATAAGCTCTCGATCTTTCAAGATTTTGTTCGATTCTATTGATTATGGCCATCCCTCTCTCCCTCTCCCTCTCCCTTTCTCTTATTTGTTTCACTATTTAGCTATTCAATTTATTTTTTTTTAATCTCCAATAACATAGTTTATTTTAACAAATTTAAATATTTTATTATAAACAATTCAAATTCAACCCACCCTAAGGCGCTTGCTCTTCCTACAAAAGACAACTCCATGCATATTAAGTCGTGATCTTCTGAAGTATCTTGGGAGATGACAGACTTTGTTCGATCAAATACGGAGAAGAAGGCGTGCACACTGAGGATTCTTATCTTGAACCCTTCGCACCATGCTCGTGAGTCGTGACAATCATCCGGATTCGTTTAAGCTTCTTGCTTTTTCTAGACGAGTCTTATCTCTCTTTATGTTCTTCTTGCTCAAGGTTCCACTTTTGAGTTTTATTATTTTCTTAATATTTAACTGAAAAATAGTTGCTCTGTAAATCATTTTTCTATAATATAAACTCTTTTATAGAATATTTTGGAGATGTGTC